ACACACATGAACTTGTTTACAAAGACGGTCGGCCGTATCACTTCCGAGAGAGGTCCCCATTATATGAATGGGACGCCAAGGTGGAGTTTGAGCATCTCTACGAGGGAGGGTTGATTGTGCACAACACCAAGGGGTCGGAGCAGACAAAACAGTCTCTATCAGCTTCAGATAAAAACAAAGCAGTTTCTCTTGCTTTACTACAGGGCAAGATTATTTTTCAAGGTTTCTAGTTTGTAGCTACATAGCTTACGATTTCAGCCAAGTAGGTTACAAGGTCTATACTAGTTATAGGCGCTTTGCCTACACTTCAAATTAATATTCCTTCTATCCACCGTCTTCTAATAAAGTACGTAGATTTATAGCAATAACCCTTATTTAATTACTAGTCTACTGTTTATATTACTATCCTAAGATCACATTATCACATTACTATGTTATTTTAAGTAAATATTTAGCCTTAGAATATAATATATATACTATTAGATTTCTATTTTTTAGTAAAAAAGTCTATACTAAAAATATTATATATATTTCTTTAAACTATATAGTTTATTTTTATCTTATTTACTTATTAATATTATTTATATTAAGCTAGTTTATTACCTAAAATTAACTACTAAAAGGTTATCTGTTATTACCTGTATATAGCTAATACTAAATCTAACAGCTAGGGCGGTTCTTATACCTGCCGTGATAGAACACCTCTAAGCCTAAACCCTCAGGGAACCTGTATTAGCTATGGTCCTCTTGCCTACAGGGTCTGCAACAACCAGCAAGGAAAGTAGGCCTTCCGTTTATATGGCTGCTGTAACAGAACAGTTGTTAAACCGTAGGGATTGTAATAGTTTAGTAATTAATTATGTGATATGTTGTGTGTAACTATAGTGAAATGCTTTAGGGATAGGAGAATCCCCCTATTCCTTAGTTAGGAGATCCTAGACTAATCCTAGCTATATAATTAGTAAAATTACCCTTAAAGTAGGGCTATTTTACTGCCTATTCTCTAATAATCTGCTGCAGGGCAACTATATATTTGTTAGTTAATTTATATGTACTTCTGCTATATTTAACAGTTGTCTTAGAGGGCCTAGGCCCCTATTGCTGGGTTTACTTCTACTACTTGTTTCACTATTACGTGTTTGTTGTTATCTCTACAAGCAATTCTAATTCATTAAGGGTTCCTAGGATCTTTACCACCAAGACGCAGTGTGACAGCACAGATTTAGCGCTCCACCATTATTCAGATTAAGCCTACCAATATTTACTCATCGGCTTTGCTTTCCGCATAGGACGTATTAATTATGCAGTACAGCGTGTTAGAGAGGTTAGACTGTGTCACGTTAAAAGACAAAAGAGCTCAGAGGTTAGTTAGCTAAGATAACAGGGCTAATTACACAGCATTAGTATATAACATAGGCAGTGAGTTAGCGTTTGTTACTATTATTTTAAGTTACTTACAGACCAGCCTTAGTTCTTTATAGGATTACTTTAGTTCTTTATTTATCTATTTTATAGTTTTATCTATTTTTAAGCTTAAGTTATATATTATTTCTTCCTGCTTTTATACTACCTCTATCTGCTGCTTAAGTGTTTCTATTACGATGTTAACCATCGCCTGGATATTAGCGATATAGATTAACGCCGATCAGTCGGAATAACTACGGCCAATTCGCCGTGGATCCACCAGATCCACAGGGATATTACGTAGTGAATTCGCCACATAATCCCACAATAGTTTTCCTTCTTTACGCATAATTTAGAAACAGTATTTACCCTTATTATTTGTCACTTGCCTATTAATACGTATAGTTAACTATATTACTACCCTAGTAAAACTAACACTAATTAGTAGTTAACTTTATAGTAACTACTACTATAAGATACTATAGATTAGTAAGGTAATATAAGAAGAGGTAATTCTTTACTATTAATTATTTATAAAAGCCTAGAGTAGGCTTTACTAAAAAGGCCTTCTATAAATACCCTTATAATAAGATTACGCTATACGCCTACTATAGGTTAATTTACGTTACCTAGTAGTTATATCCCCTTAATATAGTAAGAGTAGTGTAAATTTATATTATTTATATAAGTAAATTAACTTTATTACTATATAAGAAGTCCCCTATCTAACTATAAAAACACCTTATTTTACGCACTAACCTACTATTAATTAGTAATTATTTATAATTTACCTTCCTTTTATTATAAGCCTATAAAGCTTACTAACTTTCTCTTTTTTATATATTTTTCTTATTTTTCTCTAAATTATTTTATATTACTAATATAACAGCCTTTATTACCTATAAGCTTAATATACGCCTTTCTTTTTTTAAGTTTCTATTTAACTATAAGTCTTTATAGTTACTTATACTACTAGTAGTAAATCCTCTAATAGATATATACGCCCTTTAGTAACAGCTAAGGGAAACGCCTATAACTAAAAGGTAGTTAGGCTAACAGAGGGTAATTATAAGTAAGTAACTAAGATAAGTAACTATAATAAGCTAGTAAGTAGCGCCTATAAGGTAGTTAAAACCTAAGAAAAAAGAAGAAATCACCCTAAATACAAGCTACTACCTAACGCTACTAAGTAAGTAAAGAAAGTCTATAGCGCCTATAAAGTGCCTAAAGGCCTTAAAAAGTATATTATTACTACCTAATAGTAAAAAGACTATATTATAAAGTTACTATAAGACCTTATAGTTAATAAGTAAAGGAATACGCTTACTACTATTACTATAGCTAATATTACTAAGTATAAGCGCTATAATTATATATATAGGATCCTTTAGGATAAAGTTTAAGATAACTTTAGGAAGTAGTTAATTAATAATTTTAAGTAATTACCTTATAAAG